TCACTGCTGGGGGAAGCAGTGGCATTGGTGGAGTGCTCTGTCCTGGGGAGGGAAGCAGTGAAGTGCTCCATCCAGGGGGTTGGGTGGAATCATGGTGGTGGCGGAGCTCTCTATCCTGGGGGGGAAGCAGTGGTGGCAGAGCGCTCCATGCGGGGTGGGGAGAGAATTCCGCAGAGAGTTGGTTTTAAATTATTTGAATCCCAGCACTGGGCTGGTTGATAGATTATTAACAGTGCTTACATCTGTCCCTAGATAGATTAATAACAGATCTCACCTCTGCCCCTGCTCATTCTACTCCCTCCTCTCTCATCTTTTAGTTAGGATTAAATATTTGTATTTTTATAGTATTTTATTTGTATTGTGTATAGTTTTATATAGTTTTATCTTTTTAACTTTGCAACCCAGATGTAGGAAATGACCAGGCTGAGCCCGAGGGAGAGGTCAAATGCATCATAAGTCTTGAGATCCTTCATGCCCACCATGTAAGTCTAGCCCTGGACAGAAATCCAGGTATGACAGAAAAAGCACAGCCTAGTGCCATTAGCATATTAGTGTTCATTATTATTCAATTCATAAATAGGTTCATAAATAGTGAATTATGTGTTTTGTGAACCTCTTTTGCAATTTGGACAACAAATCATGGTACAGTAAAATTAATATTGATGTAGTAAACCCATTTTATTTATCAAAATCATATATGTATGATTAAAATGTATGGTTTCATGAAATGAGTAGGCAAACACAACTTGCAAAAATATGATTTTTTCCTTCTCCCTGTGATATATTTTAACAGCTTCTAATGTGCTAAGGAAGATCTACCTGTTTATGGACAATAAAAAATGACAATACATTCCCCAGTTTCATATAAGACTGCTGAAGATTGTTGGAATTATTTTTAATTAGGTAAAACAAACAACTGCAGCCAACTCTGTTGCTAAAAACATTTCAGCCTGTGGGATTTCTGCACAAATGTGTGGGAGGAAAAATAAAATGAGTAACCAAAGAATTTAAGATCCAAAGCAGGCAATGCCATTGAAGGACCAGATATTTAGCTAGTGTAAACACTTTGCTTGATCAGTATTTAAACCAACGTTTCAATAGCTCTGGCCAGATTGTTTTGGGGTGGGGATGTTCAACATTAGTACTCTGGTAAGCTGTTTTTGCCACTTACCAAGATGGTTCTATCTGCAGAAGAAAAGCCTTTGCACATGGAATTACATACACAAAGACTTTCTCCCTACAGATCGCTTAGAGTTCTTGGGGTGGGATTGGAGAGGTGAGCCTTAAGTGGAAGATTCAGGGGATCTCTCTCTCTCTCTCTCTCTCTCTCTGTGTGTGTGTGTGTGTGTGTTATTTAAGTATTAAGCTTACATACTTGTTATTTTGACAAAGCAATAAATAATTTTGATAATTTAAAAACCTGCTTGGGAGACCTAAAAGGGAAAGGGATATGCCATAGTCTAGTCATACCCTAATGCTAATAACTTCAGCAGGCTGCTGGAATGAACAGCCAAAGATGTATATGGTTAGATTCCATCCCCACCACCACCACCAAACTGAAGACCTTGCTGAATAAATATACCTAGGCATGGCTCTGGGAGAGAGGGTTAGAGTATATCATAATATGAAGGTTAATGACTGAATGAAAGGGAGCTATAGGAGAAACTGGAACAGAAGACAAAATAATCTGGTAATATTAGTTCTATTCTCTGCTGATCCGTTTACTCCACGGGTGTCAAACTTGCTGCATCATGTGATGTGTTGCGACATATCACGACTTTTTTCGCATTGTTGAAGATGGGGTATGCCCGACCTCTGCATGATGCAACCGGCCCACGGGCCAGCAGTTTGACACCCCTGGTTTACTCCAAAGTGGTTGTCTCTATCTGGGTCATACTGAAAGTCCTATCATCTCCCAGAGAAAGAATCTGATGGAAGCATTTTCATTCATCCATACACCAGAGGTGATTTTTTTTAATTAGGATGTTACATGAAAACACTTTCGCAATATGACAGCAGTTATCATTCTCCTGTTATCTCAATTCAGGAAAGTGTGAAGCAGGCTGTGTTCTGGTCACTTTTCTCTTCAGTATTTATGTGAACTCAATAATCATCACCTGCACCAAAGCATCACTTTCTGCAATACAACCACAATAGAGAGTTGTCTGTGCTACTTTGTGAGCTGATGAAACATTTTTTTTCTTAATTGAATCCGGCCTAGGAAGAAATCTACAGGTCCTAGCAGAACAATTTTGGAAAATCAAAGTTGAGAATGATTTATGCTAGTGCAGCTTTCCTATATAAAGTCCCCTGGCCAGGGTACCAGCAATCTGGCAATGGAAATTTGATATAGCTTTCCAGATAGAGGAAGGCAAATTAGGTAATCGGTACTGGAAACGTTTCCTCCAGCAAATTCCCTTTCAGTACTGGTAGTCCCCAATTCAAATATCAGTTCCATTCCCAACTCTGTCATTAAGTAAAATTGATATGTAAGGCAGAGCAGTATTATTGTATAATGCTATATAGGCAGTATTGTATAATGATCTTGAACCATTGTGTATTTAATGTGAATAATTGTGATTTAACTCATTTTTTTCTACAATTGGCTCCATTCTTTACTAGGTTATTCTTAAACAGGGGCATTCTTAACCCAGGGACTTCCTGTATTACTGCCCATAGCATATTTGAGCTTTTTTCTCAGCACACTTTAATGGGCTAATTAGTGATACAGTATTAGAAGGAAGGTCTAAAAATATAATACTCTTTTTACAGAGTAAACTACCCCATGACCTGGAGGAATTTGGAATGCTAGAGCATGTATTCCTTTGATGTTCTTTTTATAGCAACTTGCATCCTATCACATAACTCTGTTTACTAATAGAAGTTCCACTTTGAAGATATTCTCAATTGCTTTTTACTCTTAGACCAGAACCCTAACTCTGGGAGAGCAGCAAAATTTCTTTCAGCTACCATTCCCTTACATAGGAAAACACTCTAATTTTAGGATATACAAAATATAAATAAATATGCAAAATATAAATACAAATAAATCAGAAATATACATTTTTTCATGCTTCCTATGTTGTTTCATATTTTTATGTCTCTCTGTTATATTTCACTGGTCCCTGATTACAATCAAGATAGAGTGATAAACAAATCTACATTTACTTTATAGTTGAGTAATTTACAATTTAGTATTTTATTTTCAAAATAGTTCTGTAATTTTGTCAATTTGTTTTAAGTATTTACCTTTGTTGTATTTTCCTACTAGTATTTAAAATATTTTGTAGTTTGAATGTTTTATTTAATTCTGTTAATTATCTAGAAAATCTTCATGTATCTAAATCTGAGCTCAGTACCCTTTTTACAAAAATTACATAAAAAGCTTTCCAGTGACCACAATAAAAATATTACAATAGTATAAATTAATTAATAAAACTTCCTATATAGTTAATCCTTCATTTTCTATTGCATTACTAATTGCAGTTTAATAGCAAACTTTGGAAGAGCTTTGGGGGTTACAGTCAAGGTTGAAGAGAATATGCAACCCCATCTAAACATCATCTCTTTTGATAGTGTGAAATGTAGTCTTCTTATTCTAGACTAGCTCAGGAATTCTGGGAGTTGAAGTCCACAGGTCTTAAAGTGGTCATAGTTGCCCACCCTTGTTTTAGACTCAAACATTCTATGTATCATTTTGAACCATTACTTTGTGAACGGGTCACAAAATTCTCACCATTTTCCAAGCATGTTGCTACTTATTTCACTGGAAATGGTTCATTAACATAAAATGAAGAACTTTCTCACACGTATATCAAGCTGCAATATGGATTTTACTTCATTGTTATTTTATAATACATAAACTGCTAAGATTGAAATATAAAAAAAAAAGAATGTCAAGAGTTATTTGTTTTTCACCTAGTTTCTTCTCTGCTCTCAACTTGAAAACAATAGGGGTGATGGTGGTTGAATCATCTGGGATGGGAATGGAATGCCAAGAATCCATCTGCAGATTGTGACGCCCTGCTCCCCCCTTCAAGAACACACTGTGCCTGTGTTTGAATGATTCAGACAATTCCCATAACAAGGACAGTAGGTGATTGGACAACGCAATGGACTAAGGGGAGTGCCCAAAGGAGCAATTCATGTTTAATTATACAGATCTTTGAGCAGGAAATTCAGAGCTGATTTTGCTTCTTTTGTGCCAATGTAGTGTATTCAATAAAAGTATTATTGTTGGAAAGAACAATGTCCCAGGAGTTCCTTTCTTAGATTCGCTAGCTGGAATCAGACAATTAGATCACACTTGTAAGATGTCAACATTGTTTTCACAGCAGTGGGATGCTACTTGGTGAAATGAGTTTTTCTTTCAGGAAAATGTTTTAGCAACTGGCTTGAGTATATAGTTTTCTTTCCCTTTCCCAACTCCTTTCACTTGGATAAACTGAATGTGCACTGTCTTTATCAAATCAGTGTGGCATTTGACTTAATCTCCCCAGTTAAATCAAAATTGATCCAATGATTTTGACCTAGTTAATGAGATCATGAAAGAACCAATATAGGTAGTCCTCGATGTTCAACCACAATTGAGTCCCAAATTTATGTGACAAGTGAGAACTTGTTAAGTAAATTTTGCCCCATTTTATGACCTTTCTAGCCACAGTTGTTAAATGAATCATTGCAGTTAAGTTAGTAACATGGTTGTTAAGTGAATCTGGCTTCCCCATTGACTTTGCTTGTCAGAAGGTCGCAAACGCTGTTCACATGACCTCAGTGATGGTCATAAACATGAACCAGTTGTCAAGCATCCAAATGTTGATTACATGCCATGGCAATGCTGCAAGGGTCATAAGTATGAAAAATGGGCATAAGTCACTTATGACTTTGTAACTTTGAGCGGTTACTAAACGAACTGTTGTAAGTTGATGATTACCTGTACAAATAAAATTATTGCATTTGTACAAAATGAGATGAAAAATAAATGCATACATATATGTATATATATATATATGTATAGGTATCTTTATTTGTATAAAGTTTTTATTTTCAACATACTTGCTTAGATTTTCTTTCATAATAAAACTATGTACCTTGAATGCCGTTTTCATCCTAAGAAAAAGAGCACTCTATCCTTTTTATGCAAATAAAAAAATATGTGTTTTGGAATGCCAATGTCATAAAATGGTTGTTTCAAGAGATTCGGCTTTCAAGCAGTCCCCTGAAGAAGTTTTTGCCTGTTCCTGAAAACAGGAAGAGTTCTGCTCTGTCAAGCCTTTGAAGTCCTGAGAATGACAACTACACAAAGTTATACTGTCATGCCTTCTGTTCCGTAAACTGCCTGAAAACCATGGCAGATCACTTCTGATGCTCTTGAACAACAGAGTTGATGAAAACCAGTTGAGCAAGCTGAAATCTGATCCATCTACTCTTGTACTCCATTGTATTGTGTCATCAACATTCATCAACGTTGGCTCTAGATCAAAAGCACTTTTTTGAAAACCCAACGATGGTTCACCTTTATCATCAACTACTGAAAGATGTCCATTTTCCTCACAAAATTGAGCATCGAGAGGAGAAACAAGAGTATTTAAATCTGTTGAACACCCTGGTTTTGGCATCTGAGATAGCTCCTTTTTTTGTTGACATAATTCTGTTGGGTTATTGTGGTTACAGGTCCTTGAAAAACCACTAGTAATGAAATATGGGCTTTCAGGAGAATAACCAGTATTTTGATAAATTTGGGAATTGGTGTCCCTTTTGGTGGCCCACTTGTTTAAAAGCTGGTTGTGGGAGCCTGGAAGCAATCTTGATATCTGGCGTCCAAGTTGAAGCTGGGTTGGGAAAAGTGTGCCTTGAAGTATTCTGTAGAGAAATCTGATGGAGAGAAGTGAAGGAATTAAAAATGAATGCATCAAAAGAATACTGTACCAATTTAAACCTGAATAAAATAACAAGGGTGATAGCTGTCAACACCACTAGGTAGAACAGCCCAGGATATCAACTCCACCTGAAGGCTTTATTAAACTTGGTTACAATAATAACATCTTTCAAGTTCAATTGTACTGTACTACTTCTTAAATTTCAATGAATTAGGGACACATCTGTATAAGCTAATTCCAAATGTTAACTTGTTCTTGACTTAAAAAAAATGCTTCAACCTGTTGCTCAGATTCCTGCATATCTTCATCAAGGTAATTTTCCTTAGTCTATATATCCATTGCCTCTTTTGGTCTTACCCTCCCAGTGTGTCAAAAAATTCTTGTCCAGGTTCATGGGAATGAACTGCAAATTCACTGTTCTCTTTTGCTGGCAACTCCCCTAGAAGTCCTACAATGAGGCTGTACAAGGAGACTTTTACTTGTCAGCATATCTTTTTGCTGTGCTTTACTTGATGTTCACTTTCTATATTTATTATGGTCAGTGGCAGGAAAAATAAAGTCACTGATTTATTTGGCTTATCTGATTATTGTAGCATATGCACTTTCGTTTCCTCATAGAAATATTGCTCACAAACAATATGTAGAAAAGAAAAAATGCTTTAAGTTAACTCTCTAAGTGATGCCCACAAGAAAAAAAAAAGATACTCTACCTGGGAAGCAAAGCCACAACGGGTGAAATAAGACAAGTCAGATAAAACACCGGTTCTCCCATCAGCTTCTCCATAGTCCAATAAGGATTTGATGGAGGATAGCATATTGGGCACGAAATATTATAAATGAGCGCCACAATGAAGAATAAAGCAATGCTGAAGACACATGATGACAAATGTAGCCAGGTCTGAAAGAAACATATTAAAATTATTTTGCAATTCTATACTTTACTGCCATTGTGTGTTCAGACAAAATGGAAAACTAGTATTTTTCTAAAAGGTTCAAGAGGATGGAATAAGTTCAAGAGAAAATATTCCCTACACCAAGGTTGAAATCTACATCAAGAGAGAAATGTAAGGAAATCTGAGTAGATTTCTACAAGAATTTTGTAACCACAATGGAATCAGTGAAATGGTGTTGCCAAACTGGACATTTCCATTGTAGGAGGATTTTCATGACCAAGTAGATCAGTAGATACAACCTCAGAGAAAAAGCAAGTCTTTGAGCAAATGAGCATTCATACCTGTTTTGCTACAAGGCACTACTTAGTCAGCATCTCACTTTGGATGATTCCTGCAACATCACCACAACTTAGTCATGGGTAGACTCATTTTGGACTCATGGGTTCAGCAATTATCAGCACCTTATAGAATATTTTTTTAAAAAACCCTCCCTCTTACAGTTTGTCAATTATATTATGTGAACGGAAAGCTTAAATATTTAAAAATATGTTATTGTTTGAAAGATTTTTGTTTTAGTCTCCTAGTAAATTTGCATTTACCAGCAAATATAATTTTTACCAATTGATAAAAATTGATCATATTGTGACATTTTCAGGTGCTTAATCGGATACATTCAGTTATTACACAGAACTTATCTCTAAAGGCTCAAAGGTTACCTTCCCTTGTTAAAAATGTCCTATTGAAATATATTCATGTCTTTCCTTTGAGTAGGAGTTAGTGTAGACATACTAAAAATAAAAATATATTCTCCAGTCTATACAGATAGAGTCCTATAGTACATGCTATTCAAAGCTATACATACTCATCCGTATTAGGTAGATAATTATATAAATTTCACATCTGTCTTCTAGCAGAAGTTTGAATTTATTCCCTTTATTTTAATGGATCCTTGCTTCACTTTTTTTTCTTGTTTGAATTTTTAAAATGTATGGGCTGAAGACAGCAACAAAGTTTTGCTAGCATTGTGAGGGTTGCTTGAGTAGTGTAATAGCTAAGCAAAGCACAGAAAGACAAATAGCATTTGCCTAAATGTATGTCTAGAAAAATCTATGAAGAAAACCCCAAAATCTCTTCCCGGCCTTTTGAGTTGGTAGCTATAGTGTTGGTAGAGATTGTTTTATACATTGTTATTCTGATGCAGAAGTCATTTCATGTATTCCAACCATATATTGCCCACTGGTGTGCTTATAGGGGAATTCTGAGAGCGAAGAACAATAATGTGTTGATATCAGTAGGGATGGAGGAAAAATTAATCTGGATTATTATATAAACGTATCCAAGTGGATCCTCCTGAACTAAAAAAAGAAAATGCGACAAAACCACACTGTTCTAAATTATCTTTGTATTAAGTAAAAAATGTGTTAAACTAAGAATTACAATATTTGCAAAAATATGGGCAATAGCAATATATATAGACAAATATATAGATGACTCACACCTCACCCACTGATGACTAACACCGTCCAATGACTCTGACCTAAAGTAACCTCCCCATCACAAGACCCATCACAATCTTCTCTCTGATGACTCACACTTGACCCATCACAAGACTCTCTCTTGACTCACCCACACTTGAACCTTATAAACAGAAGAGAACTGACATAGACATCTCCTAAATGCTGCTGAAGATGTTACCTAGCCTGGTAATGAAATGTTCAGAAACCAACCCACATGCTCAGAGAATGAACCTGCACCCTCATATAGACAAATATATGGAGCTGAGACCAATTCCAACTGCTAGTGATCGCCTATCAAGATCTACAGTAGATGGCTTGGTTCTCAGTTTCCTTAGGGTCCATCTTCTCCAGGTGGAATGTAAGAGGTTAGGTTCCTGCCCCCAAGAGAGATCAAAGAGCATGAAGTTGGAGATAATCCTTCTTGTAATGTTTCAGCTATTACTTTGTAAAATCTTATCAGAGACATATCAGGTATCCTGCTTATTGGCTTTGTATGGAATTGTTAGTTCCATTTTAGCAGATGATAAGAGATTAATTCTTTGTTGAGGTTTATTCTTTCTGATGCTATTTTTTTTACATATATAAACTCTTGGGAACTGAATGGCATGGGTATTTTTATAAATAAACTAGACAACTTGTGACCTGTTGAATCATTATTTCAGAGATATCCCCTAAACAGAGAAACAGAATGACCCTGTGTGGGCAAAAAAGCACTGGGAGTGACTTCCAACTTCCTGGGGGCTTTCCCATTGACTTTCCTTTTGGGAAACTGGTGGGGAATGTTTTAAATGATGGTCATATGACTCTGGCTGATGAGGCTGTGCCACAGCATTGAAGTGGACACACTTTTGTCAAATTTCAATCCCATGGGAGTAATGGATCCCAGATTTTGGCTGCAGTGTTTAAATTAGCCCATTTGTGATATGTTGACTCAAAAATTGTTGCCCTATGTTGCAACAATTGAAGGTTATAAGAGACAGGAGAGTTTTAATTGTATATAGATAAGTAAATATGGATAGACTAGAACAAAACATTGAGGTGGGATGAAAGCATGTGTAGAGTCTTTACCTTTGTTTATTTATCACAAAGCAGGCTCTGTTCAGTTTGTCTATGCACGCAAAGGGCAAAACCTGCATTGTGTAAGTGGAATACTGCTTTCTTGATCCTTCTCCCCACCATGCCACTGGGGGGGGAGGGGAGAATTACTTGTGAGTTACATAGAGAAATAAAAATAATGAAAGTGTGAATGTTGATTCCTTATAAACTGTCCTTATAAGTAATATGCTTTAAAACGTGGTGGTAAATGTTCTTCTGAAAAACATGGGGACCAGTTCATACAGGAGAAGAGGGGATATGAGAAAAACAAGGGTAGCTCGAAATGCCAGGAGAGAAAAACTGTCAATCTTCAAATGCAGACCAATTGATGGAATTATGGTAGTTAAGTCTTAATTAATAATAATTTATTAAGTTTATATATCTGCCTAAATAATGCTTGTGATGATATAAAATATGCTAAACTGTGTCCTCTGTGAATGTTTATGAGATTCAGAGTTTTGAACATTGGTCTGTTTGTACATGTGCATATGTGTTGGTGTGCAGGAATCTCAAAATTGAATGCAGCATATACTTCAATAAGCTATTATTTACATATAAAAGAATGTATGAGATCATTACCTACTGAAGTTTGCTAATAAAATAAAATCTAATTGAAAGGCAACTGTAGAACTATGCCTTAAGTGGCAGAATATAGGTCACATTTTTGAAGGTAACTTACCCAGGTTTTGGTTTCTATAGCCAAATGGAGTATTATGGTAAAGAGAGCTGCTGTGGTGATAGGAATTCCCCATGAAAATATGTCCACATCTGAATCATAATATATCTAGACAAAATTAAATGAGAATTAAGCACATTTGACAATATAAATCCAGAAGAATATTAACCCAAAATCCAGAAACTATAAAAACTTAGGAACGGGGTGGAAAGTATTTCATAGTTTTTGTTGCTGACACCATCTCTTCCTATTCTGAGTACATGACACCTGAATTTTTGGTGAATAGTACAGGGAACATACAAGCTTCACTGTCAGATGCAAAGAATCATGACTATTCATAAAATTGCAGCATAGAAGATTTATTCAAGCCTGTGCACAAGAATCTGGTCAATTAAAGTTCAACATTAAATTGGCGCCAGGTAAGGATCAACGGAATTCAGGAGGGGTTAGACTTGGAGCACTTGTGGGAACACAGTGACTCTAAACTAATGACAAACATAATTCTTTCCCCAGCTCTGCCAGCTTTTCTCCTACATTCACTGGGTGTGCACATAAAGCCATTTTCCAACTGCTGATCCTTATCACCCAATAGCAACAGATTGGGTTATCTGTATCAATAACCCATAATTTTGAATATCTTTTTTCCTCCACAGCTTCAATAATCAAAGCCATAAATGCCAAACTGACCCTTCTAGCACTTAGTTTCACCTCCATACATTTGCCACGCTTGGCTTCTTTTCCCCATGATTCAAGAATAGAAGGATTGAAGCATGTTTACCCCTGATAACTTACAAAGTAAGGGATGAAGAAACAAACCAAGCTTTGATAGAGAGCATCAATCATGTTCATCCAAAACATATGCGGCTGGTACTCCTGTAATGGGGGAGGCAGAGAGAGAGAGAGAGCTTTACCTCTGATGAACCACTTCTTGTTAAAAAAAAAGCTCAGTGATTAAAAGAAGCAGAAGAGTTCGTTTAGGGAATTCATCTAGAAAAGCTGCTGAATATAAATTATATTCTGAGCCAAAGCATTCCCATCCAACCTTTTTGGCAGTTTGACCAGCTCCAACCCCGTCCAACATTTTCCCAAAACCCTTCCCTTTCAAACATAGTTAAGTGGACCACACACTTAGCCTCCTCTCCCTCTACTGTCTTATCAAGAGCTACTGGAGGTCCTGACTAAAGGCCACCTGATCAGACTATTTTTCCTGAGGCTCATACTGAACATGCTGTCCTATTACCTGGAATAGTAATATAGCTGATATTAAAGATTGTAAGAGTAGATCAGGGAGAGTTTGGAGGATCAAAGAAGTCTGAACAGGATGAATAGGTTTGGAATGGCTCAGAAATATTAGATAGGCTTAGTTTGTGCATAAGGCAATTCCCAGTCTTTCTGGAAGCAGCTCAGATTTCTTTCTTTTTCTAAGCCAGGTCAAACTCTGAAGTGACCTGTGATGTATCTCAATTCCTGAATGTGACTCCTGTTCTCATAACTGACAGTGACATTAATATGGTGAAGATATTGGATCCAAATGAGTAAGCTGCATTTAGTTCAGGCAGGCAAATGAATTAGGGACTAGCTTCTGTTGATTTCAATAAATATAAAATGGAATTAAAGACTATGGATTTAATGAATCATTTTAATTATGGTGATTATACATTATATTCCTAGTAGCAGTAGCCATAAGCCTCTCAATAAAATTTTATTTGTTCATGCACAGCTGATCTTATCATCTAGCTATTTGTGCCATTTGACAGTGAGGGTTAGAAACACAAAACATAACAGAAATTATTAAAACACATCACCCTGGAGGCAACTCACATCAACATATTAAAAAGGAGTCACATGGCATCCTGACCCAGGTCAAAATATTTTTAAATGATGACGGGATCCAGGCCATCTGAATCCAAAGACCTCTTCTTGGCTACTCTGGACAACGTTTTAGTAACTACTTAGGGACTTGGAAAGTTCTTATTTTCTTGTGAAATCATTTAGCTATCTTGCAGAACAAGAGCACATACATAATTCATTGTTTGATATTATCCTCTATTTCCAATGTGAAAATTTAGAAATGTATTCTGGCCTCAAGGTTCACTGTATTCTGCTGTCAAAATATACAGTCCTGGGTAGAACTTCTTTCTACCATGCAGAATTATTTTACTTTTTGGCTACCTATGAAAGTTAGAAAGTTGATATGGCAATATAATATCCAAGTTCTTTATTAATACATCTAAGTATGCTTAATTTGAACAAGGTTTTCATTACTTCTCCTTGTTACATCAGCAGGTAGCCAACTGGCAGCCCTCCTGAACTCTCAGTGGCTGTCAAAACCATCAATCATGGTATTCTTCTGGACTGACTTTGGGTGCTGGTAGTGATAAGCATTGTTACAATGGTTGTCCTCCTTCCTCTGTGGCCAGTTCCCGTTAATGTTGGCAGTGAAGAGGTTGAATCCTAGGCACCTGCAATGTGAGGTGCCCAAAGGCTTGAGCCTTTTGCCACTCCTTTTTAACATTACATGAAACTACTAGGGGAGGTCATCCATAAGTATCAGATCTCATATCACCAATATGTTGATGATACTTAATTATATATCTCCACCTCTAGCTGAACAGTATTGGCCATGTGCTTAGAATCTGTAAGGGTCTGGATGGTGACCAATTGGTTTTGACTCAACCCTGGCAAGAAAGAGTGGCTATGGTTATGCTCCCCAGGTCCAGATGATATTTCATCATTAACTATTGATGGGGTGGCACTTCCCTGGACTGAGCTGCTGCACAACTTGGAGGGTCCTCCTGGATCCATGCAGGACTAGGAGGCAGCCATGGTTAGGGGCACTTTTGCATAGATTCATCTTCTGCACCCTTTTTTGGACCAGGTGACCTTGGTCACAGTCATTCATGCTCTGGTTTCCTCCCATTTGAGTTACTGCAATGTGCTCTACATAGGGGTGCCCTTGAAGACTATCTGGAAAATTCAACTAGTCCAGCAGTGCACACAGTGATGGGTGTCCCTAGGTTTGCCCATTTAATACCTTTGTGGCCTGAGCTGCCTTGGCTTCCAATTTATTTCATGGTGCAATTCAAGGTACTGCTCTTCATTTTTAAAGCCCTATATGGCAAAGGGCCAGATTATTTGCAGGGCTTTCTTTCCCTAAGGTAATCTACCCATCCTAACTGGCTAGATAGGACGAACATGCTTCTTCCTTTAAAGATTATCATCTGATGGAAGCTAGGAAGTGTGCCTTTTCCATGGTAGCCCCTGCCCCTTTTCCCCTGACTTTTGGCCTTCCATAAAGCACTAGAGACCCAGCTTTTTTTGTTTTTATGCATTTTGTTTTAATAGTTTTAATATGGTTTTGTGTTATTTTAATTTTTGATTGGGAACCACCCAGAGTTTATGATAAAATGAGTGGCTATATAACTATTGTACATAAATAAATAAAAATTATATTGCATTATGTAACATTATATATTGCAGAGGAATTTTGGATGGGCCTTAATGTTATGCATTTCAGGAATCATGAGGGTCTAGTGGTTTTTCTAAAATTAAAAAAGATAAGAATGATCTTCACATCACATTTTAGGACCTGGACAATGCAGAAATGAACACATTTTTACCTCCATCTTCTGGCCACTTGTGTAGAGTTGGGGAATAGCAATTAATGTCTCTGCAGGTACATCTTTATCAAGTACTCCAACAATCAGTTGAGGAAGAGATGAGAATAATAAGTTAAAGAAGATCAGGTACCATTGATCAATCATTGATGACCCCGAAAATCCACAGTAAAACTGGTACCAGAACAGAAGGGCAACAAACATCTTTAAAAAAAAGAAAAAGAGCAAAATATGAATCTTTAATATTTGCAAGCAGCATATTTATGTGTAAAATTGTAGTAGGATATCTCCTTTTTCATGAAAATATTGAATTTAATAAAATAAATCTAGTTCTAGTTCTTTATCTGACTCAACATATACTGCCCAATCCCTCACCTTTACAGGTAGTCTTTGACTTACGACCACAATTGAGCCCAACATTTCGGCTGCAAAGTGAGACATTTGTTAAGTGAATTTTGCCCCGTTTTATGATCTTTCTTGCCACAGTTAAGTGAATTACTGCAGTTGTTAAGTTAGTAACATGGTTAAGTGAATCAAGCTCCCTCATTGACTTTGCTTGTCAGAAGGTTAGATAGATTAGATAACCTTTATTGTCATTTTTTTTTACTGTGGACACACTGGCACACATTAAAAATGAAATTTAGTTGCTTGCTCTCAAAGTGTACACATACGTAACACATATTTAAACATGCTATATACGACATATATATAAACCTATACTCTTATATATAAATAACACATAAATATTAATCACTGTCCATCTTGAATACAAAACGGAAAGAGGATGCTTTAAAGTTCACAAGGTTAATACTGTATGGAACGAAACTGTGACTTAATCTGGATGTTCTGCTTCAGATACCATGGAACCTCCTCCCAGAAGGTAACAAGGAAAACAGGTCGTGAAGAGGATGTATGGTGCCCCAGACAATCTTGCAGCAACACTTGTACGCTATGTCTTGGATGGAAAGGAGGGAACTGCCAATAATCTTTTCTGCCATCCTCACTACTCTCTGCACCGCCTTCCTGTCTGAAGCAGTGATGCTTCCATACCAGACTGTAATGCTGTATGAGAGGATGCTCTTGATCATCCCTCTGTAGAAAGTGGTAAGGATGGGGGAAGGAAGATGCAGAAAATGCAGGCCCTGCTGTGCCTGCTTCACCAGTGTCTCGCTACTGAGCGACCAAGCCAGCCTACTTGTTAACCGCACATGCAGGAATTTGATGCTCGTAACCATTTTCACAGGTGAATCATTAATGCAGAGAGGACTGTGGCTGTGCCTGCCTTTTCTGAAATCGACAATGGTTTCTTTGGTTTTTCCAATGTTTAAAACTAGGCTGTTTTTCTTACACCAATTCACCAAACCCTCAACCTCCTTGCAGTAAGCATCCTCACTATTATCTTGCATAAGGTCCACTACTGTTGTACCATCCACACACTTCACAATATGGTTGGTGACAAACCTAGCACAGCAGTCATGGGTCAACAGAGTGAACAGCAGCGGACTTAGGACACAGCCCTGAGCTCAAGAAAATGGTGTTAGAAATACAGCTCGCACATACTGGGGCCTGTTAGTAAGAAAATCAAAAATCCAGTTGCACAAAGGAGTGTTTAAGGCTAGAAGGCCCAGTTTGTTTATTAGATGCTGGGGAATGATTGTATTAAATGCCGAATTGAAGTTGACAAACTGCATTCGCATATGAATATTTCTTTCCTCTAAGTTCTCCAAGCTCAGATGGAGAACAGAAGAAATAGCATCCTCTGTGGAGCGATTTGGTCGGTAAGCAAACTGAAGTGGGTCAAATGCTGGTGGTAGGCTAGATAAAATAATGTCCTTTATCAGCCTCTCAAAGCATTTCATAATGATGGATGCCAATGCAACCTGAGGGTAATCATTGAGACCAGTCATTGTGGACTTTTTTGGCACTGGCAAAATGATGGTTCTCTTAAAACATGATGGGACCACTGTCTGCTGCAATGAGAGATTGAAAATATCTGTAAGAACACAAGCCAGCTCATCAGCACATTACTTAAGAACCTGCCCAGGGATATTAGAGGCTTTTGGAGGAGTTGGTGGTGGCGGCAGTGTTCTCCAGGGCGAAAAGGAGTGAAGCCTCTTTAAGGAAAAGGTGGAAGAGACAAGATCAGAAAACGAAAAGGAGGCTAGGTTGTCGTGCAGGAATACAAACTAATTTGAGGGATAATCCACATGGAGCTCCGTTCCCATCTGTCCTATTTGCCATCGTTCGCTCCCTAGAGACTAAAATGGACGATCTGAAACTTGAGCTGGCCACGAACAAGGAGTGTATATCGGAGGTGGTGACCCTTTGAGAGCTATATACAATGAAATTTCATTTTGATGTATGTTGATTGGTGTACTTTCAAAGTGACAATAAAGTTATTATTATTACTATTATTATTACTATTATTATTATTATGGATCATCGCACAGTCAGCCAGATGGTCAGACTGGATTTGGCATTTTGTCTACCTATCAAGTCCTTCCCAATGACCTGGGATAGGCAGATGTGGATGTTTGATGTTATTACAGATATCATCGCAGGATGGAAGCAGTTCCTAGTAAGGCCGCCTTTTGCAATTGACTAATAGCGAATTTGTCAATGCTAATGATGTTCAAATAGTGCTCCAGTTGTTTTGGGATTGCACCCAAGGAGCCTATTACTATTGGTACTACCCTTGCTTGCTTTGCCACAGTCTTTCTATTTCTATTTGTAGGTCTTTGTATTTTGTTATCTTCTCCAGTTCTTTCTCGTCTATTCTGCTGTCTCCAGGCACTGCCACGTCCACTATCCAGATTTTTTTGTCTTTCTTATCGACAATTGTTAAGTCTGGGGTGTTATGTTGCAGGTGCTTGTCTGTTTGAATTCTGCAGTCCCAGAGCAGTTTAATTTTATCATTTTCTATGACTTTCTCTATTTTATGATCCCACCAGTTTTTGCTTACAGGCAAATGATATTTTTTGCAGATCTTCCAATGCACCATTGTTCCTACTTTGTCATGCCGCTGCTTGTAGTCAATCTGTGCAATGTTCTTGCAACAGCTTACCAGGTGGTCCACTGTTTCTTCAGCTTCTTTGCATAGGCGGCACTTACTGTCTGTTGCTGTCTTCTCAATTTTGACTTTATATGCATTTGTCCTTAAGGCTTGGTCTTGTGCAGCCAGAATTAGTCCCTCGGTCTCTTTCTTCAATTTTTCTGCTCTTAGCCATTGCCAGGTCTTGTTATTATCTGCTTTCCCAGCTATTTTTTTAACATATTGGCCATGTAGTGCTTTGTCTTCCCATGCCTCTATTCTGTTCTTCATTTGATCTTTCTTGTAGGCCAGTTTGGTCTCTCCAGTAGTCAGTAAGCCTTCCTGATATACTAATTTCAGTGCATCTTCATCATTGTACTTCAGTTATTCTTCCAAAGCCATTTTTTCTTCTTCAACCATCTGATGTACTTGTAGCATTCCACGCCCACCTATTTGCCTTGGTAGATAAAGTCTGTCAATGTCATTGTGTGGATGAAGGACGTGATTCATTGACATTATTTTTCTGGTCTTCCTATCCATTGCTTGTAGTTCTGCTTGAGTCCAGTCCACTATTCCAGCTGTGTACCTAATAACTGGAATTGCCCAGGTGTTGATTGCCTTTATGGTATTTCCTCCATTGAGTTTGGACTTTAAGATCTTCTTCACTCTCTTGATGTATTCACTTCTAATCTTTTTCTTGACTTCAGTGTGCTTGATGTTGTCAGCTTGAAGGATACCCAAGTATTTGTAGTAATCTTCTTCATCCAGACTCTTAATGTTATTTTCGTGGGGCACTTGATTCCTTCAGTTTTCACTACTTTTCCTTGTTTGATAGTAAGTGTGGCACATTTGTCCAAGCCAAACTCCATTACAATATCTTGGCTATATATACAGACAGTGTTGAGCAGCGATTCTATTTCAGATGATGTTTTTCCATACAGCTTCAGATCATCCATGTAAAGGAGATGGGATAGTCTGGCAGATGTTTTTGATGTTTGATAGCCATGTCCTGAGTTATTCAGTATTGTTGACAGAGGAAACAGTGCAATAACAAATAGTAATGGTGATAATGAATCTCCTTGAAATATTCCTCTCTTGATATTAACCTCTCCCAGCCTCTCACCATTGATCTGCAACTGTGTCTTCCATTGTGCCATCGATCTTTGCACAAATTTTCTGATGTTTCTACTGACTCCTGTTATTTCTAGGCACTTGATTATCCAATCATGTGGCAGAGAGTCAAATGCCTTTTTGTAGTCAATCCATGCCACATTCAGGTTGGTCTTCCTTCTCTTGCAGTTTTCCAAGATCATTTTGTCTATTAGGAGTTGATCTTTTGTTCCTCTGCTATTGGGGCGGTTTCCTTTCTGCTCAGGTGGAAAGAGATTGTTTTCAACTAGATGCTGTTGTACTGCATCAGCTACCACACCAGTTAGTAATTTGAAAGTTGTTGGTAAGCAGGTAATTGGCCTGTAGTTACCTGGTGTTGCCCCTTTTGCTGGATTTTTCATTATTAGGTAGGTTTTCCCAGTTGTTAGCCACTTTTCAATTTCTCCTCCTTGTAGTATATTGTTGAACTGCTTGGCAATGAGTGGGTGTATAACAGTTAGATGTTTCAACCAAAACCCATGCAGTTCATCTTCACCTGGTGCTGACCAATTTTTGATTTTCTTTGCTCTTTTTTCTACCATTTTTGTTGTTATTACTAGTTCTTTCATTTCAACTTCTGTTTTATTTGCATCCACCTCTTTTAACCAAGCCGCATCCTTGTTGTATTTCTTTGGGTTATCCCATATCTGCTTCCAGAACTGCACTGTTTCTTCCTTGTCAGGTACTGACATACAAAGTCAAAATTGAGAAGACAGCAACAGACAGTAAGTGCCGCCTATGCAAAGAAGCTGAAGAAACAGTGGACCACTTGGTAAGCTGTTGAAAGAAGATTGCACAGACTGATTACAAGCAGCGGCATGACAAAGTAGCAACAATGGTGCATTGGAAGATCTGCAAAAAATATCATTTGCCTGTAAGCAAAAACTGGTGGGATCATAAAATAGAGAAAGTCATAGAAAATGATAAAATTAAACTGCTCTGGGACTTCAGAATTCAAACAGACAAGCACCTGCAACATAACACCCCAGACTTAACAATTGTCGATAAGAAAGACAAAAAAGTC